TGTGTTTAGGTTTAGAATTATGTGTATTTAAGTTGATTCCTTTTATGATTGAGAGATATGTACCACAAATTTATGTTTTTCATTTAATTTTTGTTTGTTACAGTGTTATAGCGGATGGTTGCATCAGCTTATGACGCTACTTCCTTGGAGATTCCGACGTCCGCAGCATGGCTAGGATTTGGAATAAGCGTAGTGTTCGAAACGGGTTCTAGAGTGGAGACCACGTCTAGGCAAACGTAGTGTAGGGCGCCCTCCAGCTAGGTGGACTGACGACATCCGCACGGTGGCTGGCAGTGGTTGGATGAGAAGAGCTGAACATCGAGCTCAGTGGCGTACAGTTGGGGAGGCCTATGTCCAGCTGTGGACGACATCGGGCTGATGATGATGTGTCCGATGCGCGCCACTCATAAAAGGTAAGTGGGCTCTTAAGGCCAGGGCTGAACGTAGCCTCCAAAGTTAGTCATAGGCCGAGGTCAGCCGGGTGCAGTGTGACCGTAAAGTCAACCTAGGTCCACAGTATAACGGCCTCGGACTACAACAGGAGCGATCAGGGGTTTTTAGTCAGTAAGAGTCTGACACTCCCTCTCACACCACCACTGGGAGACGGATAACCATACCTTGGGCAAGAGAAGAAATTTGATGATTTTCCCTATAATAAAATAATAAAAAGCCCATCGATATCTAATAGAAATCACGGATACCGGAATTTTCATATGTACATAGGTCAATGTGTAGGAGTTAAAACTTATTACAGATCCACTTGTGCGTTACATTTTATTTAGACCCCTAAGTGATTTTTACAGTTTTACAAACTTTTTAATATGTTATTCTTCTTAATATTTCTAGCATATATCCTTATTACAAATATCTAAAAACATAACACTACTTAATAAGCCAGAAATAGAAGTTCTGTATTTTAAAAAAACGTCCAAATAAATATATCATTAGCAAAATAATCGAGTTCAGGTCGCAATTCATAATATGATATTTTTTTATATAATAGGGTCGGAAAACGAGTATACAGATGACCTAATGGTAAACAATCAGCGCCGCCCATGGACACCCTTAACAACATAGGAGTTACGGGTTCGTTGCCGACCTTTTGGTGATTTAGGGATTGGGGGAGGGAAAGGGTTAGGCCTCCGGTAACGTCACTCACTCACACGGCGAAACACAACGCTGTAGTTGTTTCACGCCGGTTTTCTGCAGGGCAGTGGTATCACTCCAGTCGAGCCGAAGCATGGCTAATCTAAACTCTCACACTTATCTAAAATATATTTAAAAACATAATTACTAAATATCTCAAAACATAACAATACTTACTAAACCAGAAATAGAACGTTCTATATTTAAAGAACATCCAAATATATCACCAGCTAAATAATCGAGTTGGGGTCGCAATTCATAATATGATAATAACATACAAAACCGCACAATGATCATAAATTCAAAACGTGTGTTTCATGCTCCGATGACAACAGATTGTTCTACACAACAATCTGGGACAATATTATATTATGTACGTAGGTACCTATATAAAGAATACACAAATATCTTATTTATATATAATTTTTGTTTTAGAGAGGCTGACATTATTTTTTAATGGCAACATTTCCTTTTTGCTTCTTTTTTTAGCTAACTTTTGAGGTCGTAACATAGGCCGCCGGTAAAGAGCAAGATTTGTTTTTTTTTACTATTGGTAAGCTAACTTTTAAGGCTGAGGCCTAGGCCTTTTATTCTGGTATTCCTAAAATATTGCGTCCCAATGGATACAAAAAAATCTTCTAAATTTTGGAGTGAAAGAGAAATAGAATGTGAAAAGTTAGTTTAATATTTAAAACTCACTTAAATTAAGCAGATTTTGTGTAATGTTTGTATTTGTCAATTTCAAATAAATGCAAAAATATAATAAACAAAATGTTTTGGAATAGAAGAAAATATTGTTAAAAACAATGTTTAATTTTTAAGAAATAATCCAAGTATAGAATATTACTATAAGATTTTCGTCAACCGTTCAAAAATGTCTGCATGAGATAGTCTACAGAAAATTCAGCCAAAGTCGCTGCAACCATTAGCTACCAAATGGGCTGGCTAATTCCCGAGACTGCTCAAGCGCACTGTCTTAGTATTAAAAAAGATATCCTAGTTGGAAAAAACAAATGAACATCAAAAAGCTACGTTCTTAGAATAGATTCCAAAGACTTCAAACTAGAAGAACTTTTATCAGTTAATTAAAGTGAATAAGTCGATATATGTTTCAAGGGTTCGTACCTACTCCAAAATAGACTTGAGAATATATACATACATACATATAAATTTCCAGAGGTTGAAGCTTATAATTATCCGCTCCCATAGATATGGGCAGAAGAGGACATAATTTAACGTAAGTACTACTAATCATAGTTTTATGGAATTAGTGGGCGAATCTTAGAACTAGATGTAAACATTGAAATGAAGTACAATTTTAGACCCTCAAATGGATTTTTCTTCAAGCAAAAATAAATCAGTAATCTAAAAGCAATCACACCATAAAACACTAAAGTGCCTATCAATGAAAATTCCCAACTAAATATCTAACGTCATTTCTCCGTGCCTCCCCACCAAAATCTTTCTATGCAAATAACATTCTTTCCTCCACTAATTGGCCTTCATTTCTCACCCTTAATTATCTTATAAACAGTCGGTGGCGGCAAAAAGAAAAATATTTGTCCCAACCTATAACGACTGACCTCATTAGAGGCCGACTTACCCCAATTTCCTTTTTTAAAGAGAATATTATAGATGGCGATAATATTTTTAAGAAATATGAACCTTTGTTTAAAGTTTAATTTACCTAATCTGGGATGGGATATGTTTGCCTAGCAGAGGCAGGCAGGTAAGTGATTCCAGTTTTAAAGGCTAAGCAGAGAACATGGCAGTGCCTGGTCTCTTTGAAACGTTAGTTCGTAAATTGGTCCTAACAACTCTTATTTAGGGTGGAAAACCATCCAACTCCCGCTGAGTACCAGGCTCTAACTGATATTAAGTACCTACAATCTACTTAACCGTCGTGGTGTCCCGGCGGTTAAGGAGTCCGCTTTTCATGCATGAGAGTGTGGGTTCGAAACCTGGCAAGTACCAATGTGACTTTTTTCGAGTTATATGTGCTTTCTATGATTATTTAGACACCACTGACATACGGTGAAGGTAAACATTGTGAGGAAACCTGGACTCATAATTTCTAATTATAAGTTTGAAATCGCCAACCCGCATTGAGCAAGCGTGGTGATTAATGCTCTAACCTTCTCCGTATGAGAAGATGCCTTTGCTCAGCAGTGGGCACTTATAGGTTGATGATGATCTACTCAACCATCAGCACACAGCTTATTCAATACCAATTGTAAAAGCTGAACATTATCCCATTAACAACTAGACATACGATTAAAAAGACAAAATACAGTCGGCAGTTCAATGAACAAATAAATATCATTTAAAAAAAGAAACACGCCTCCAATTTACATGTCAATTTCTCACATACTTCCCTCCCACGATTAACAAGGGGTTACTCATAATGGCTTGGATTCCGTACACGTTGTCCTCCAATGACGCAAGGACTCCTAGCCAACGAGTCTTCTCGTAATCCCAGCCGCCATTTTGAAACGTTTGAATAAAAAACGTTGCCTTATTCCAGTAATGGGAATATACTACCTACTGAAGTTTGTTGCTGTCCTTTGAGGCTTTTGAATAGTCATTAAGTGGAGTGCTAAGGTTTTTTATAGTCGTTTTTATTTTTTATTTTTTAGGTATGCTCATTTAAGTTATGGAACGCACGATGTTTCTGAATTTAAGTTATGTTGATCAGCGTTCTGGGTTAGCTAACTGCGTATTACGGTTCTATGAAATATTTCTTGTCTGAAATATTATGTTATTTAATCTGGGCTGCCTCTTTTTTCTTAATGCTATTTACCAAAAGGCCTAGAATATCTTAAAAAGGATTGGCGCATTAAGTATCTACGTGGAGGTACGCCGAAGCATTTCTATTTCAAATTTTAAAAAAAGAACAGCATGCAATTTCGTCTTGTGTTCATGCATCTAACAAATGACCGGAATCAATAATTATTGATTCCGGTCATACATAACAAATCATAATCAAAAATCTTTATGGAGTTTCTATCAAAAATTAGGATCGGTCTACACTTATTTATTTAATTCCATGCATAAAGGTTGGCTATAAAGCCTGTCACTGGAAATACGTGTCAAATTCTGAGAAGTACAATGAGATAATGTAAAAAAATTCAAGTCCAAGAAAAAAAATAGTAAGAAATTTAGGTACCTAACTATTTTTTAAATCCTACACGGTCTAGAGCATTACCTAATTGTCCTTTCATTCCATTTCCTGGCTTACAAGGCATGTCAAAGAAACAAAAAAGCATACCTAAACGTAGTCTACATTCTACTTTTAAAAGCAAATTTTATATTTGAACGGACCATGTCTATGCTAATTTTCACTCTGGTTGTCCCAACGGTTTTTGCAAAAAATGTCCCCAAGAAAGTTACAATGCCGTTTCGTTTTGGTCCGAAAAATCTAGTGAATCGTTTGTTAAACCAAAACAATACTTACAGTGTTTCGAGAAAAATCGATTGAAGACCCTACTCAGTCGGGAACAACGTTCCCTAGAAGATATTGTACTGTCAATCGGACAATAAAAGTGAAAAACAAAAGATCCGTTTCAATTTATTCGAGATGAATTTTAAATATAGAAAATGTATAACATATAAAAAATGTCACGTAGAAATTCTACTTCATATTTTTGCAAATGATTTGTAAGGCTATACTAACTACAGTATCTAATTTTTGAATAGGTAATCTTTGTCAGACTGCCAAACATAATATTAAAGAATAAAAAAAATCTTGTATCATCGAAAACAGATTGAGAACAAATGGCAGAATGTTTCACGCTTGACCGAATAGTAAGAAGCTTTACTATTTTATTGAATTAAGGAATTAACTGACACGCACTATTTGGAACGATATAAAACTGTGCACCTCCGATCACAAACCACAAGTGAGAAGCGACTGGATGTCGGACTACTCACTTCGTCATAAAACATTCAATTATATCAATAAATCCTTCATTAACTTCAACCCATGAGACAATAGAAAGATAGTAAAAAATATCCGCCATTTTGTTAAAAGAACGCGCACAAGATGGCGACAAACTTCACGGACGACATTGGCCCCATGGCTTATCCTCTAAAAATGTTAGTATCGTTTTCATTAATTTGCCCAATTTCATCAACAATTAATTACTTGTAATAGAGCCTCTTTTTACATAAAATCAGAGTGCTTTCAATTAGTTTAATTAAATACCGACATCAGGTACTTAATTAATCTTTTCATGTCAAATAGGCACTTCTTGCTAAACGTTTATAGATGGGTATATTACATCCTCTTGGACTTTACCTAGAATTTCTACTGTTTAGTGACTTTTTCGTTAATAAGACGAAATGGTTTACCATAGAACTAATTATCTTTTCAGAATCTGATTCTTCAATAACATTAAACTATTTTCAATTAGCTACTCAATTTCCATCTTCGATTCTTGTAATTTTTCCGTATTTTTCATACTTTTCTCCATTCTTCTCTTCCAGGGTCTCCAAGGAGGTGGTCGAGCACATGCTTGGCTGGAACATCCCCGAGGAGCACCAGGACCTGGTCCATGACCACTGGAGGAACTTCCCAGCAGTGAACAAGTACTGGCATTACGTACTCGCTCTCATCTACACGATGCTGATGGTCACCTCACTACTTGGAAACGGCATTGTCATCTGGATATTTGGAACGTGAGTATACAATATTAACTATAGAGAGCTTTTTTATAAATATAATTTTCGTGAAGAAATGTCTTTGCTTTGCTAATAAAGAGGTCGCGTATGCGATGGCCTAAAGGCGTCATGCGGGTAAAGAAATGGCCAAGACTCGCTCGCTATTATCAAACTTAGTAGTTATTTACTTTATACTGTTGAAAAGTACCGAAATATTGCAAACAATATGTATGCTTCTAACGACATTTTCGAAGTCATATAAATACACAATTAACCTACTCCTGGACAAACAATAGATTTATTCCAAACTTTATACAGTTTATCAACGAAATCATTTATTTACAAGTTAAATCGTCACATATTCACTCCTCTATAATTTAAAACGCACACATTCAATTTTATATTATTTCTTATACTTATTATAGGGTTGCGTACAATAAGTACGAATAATCGGTTACTGAAAAAAAAACAATTCAAAAAATACAAACAGATTTTTACGAGGGGTTATTCTTATAACAATGCACGATGTTTTTACGAATACCTAAGCACAAGTAGCCAACTTTTCCATCCCATAATTTTATAGCGGTGTTTTCCAACATGTGGCCCCTTTCCCATGGTTCACTTCGCTAAACGGTCGCGAGCTCATTGAAAAGCCCAGGGCCAGATTATTCAAGCGTGACCATGAATTGGCTCCGAGTTTGCCTGAGAAAAACGTTCCTACTTTAAATAAGGTGGCGTAAAAACGGTCAATGTGACGTCTCATCATTACTTTTTCGCAAAAGAAAATTTCCTTGAAAGAAAAATATCTTTAGAACATATTACGAAATATATTTTCGTCCTCTTTGTTTTGTAAAACAAGACAAAAAATAAAAGAAATCAAATAAATTCGTTACAAAATATCAATGCTGTCATAAAGACGAGCTGCCTGGAAATGACAATCTTGACTTACCTTTGTCTGATTTCGTCCTGTTTTAATGATAAGAATAAAATATTCTAGTAGGTAATGCTGACAATCTCAAATAAATTCTGTTCAAATTATGTTCAAGATAACTTTTTTTATTTTTATTTAACAAGGAAGCTATTTCGTGTATCGTTAATTATTAACTTTTTTTTAAGTTTAACCTAGAATAAAAAGACTTTTTATGGTATAGATCGGCAAACGAGCAGACGTATTACCTGATAGTAAGCAATCGTTGTAGCCCATGGACACCCGCAACACCAAAGGAGTTACGGTCTTATACAGATAAGAGTTTCGGATATTTTAGGATTGGGAGGGGTAGTGGGAGGTGTAGGGATTGGGCCTCCGGTAACCTCACTTACATGGCGAAACACAACACTGGGGTTGTTTCACGCCGGTTTTGTGTAAGGCCGTGGTATCACTCCGGTCGAGACGAAACTATCCGTGCCGAAGCATGGCTCTCAAACACTTAAAATGCTAACTGACTACGCAAAATTTCAATAAATTTAGCAGCAGCAGCTTTCAACAGTAAACATAGGTACTTCTTACACATAAATATACGTGACCTCTGACAATATTTTAACGTTAAATAGCTACTAAAAATAGACAGGCTACTTGAAGTTTCGATCAAATCTTTAGCAATTTCCCACGAAAACTTTATACAAGTTCGCAAACTCGTAAAGGTCAAGACTATCAAACCATTCTATTACTTATAAGTAGGTAGCCGTCTCTTCTAATCTCCTTCAAAGTTTTGACTGTCCCATTAGGTCACAACAGACAACCCTTTTCTATTCGATTAAAAATGCAAAAGCGAAGCCAAAATTAATATCGTGGAACAATTTGACGATCCGTTCGTGAAACTGACGTCTTCGGCGATTTAATTAAGTTTCTGAACGCACCAAGATGGCGGATTGGCGGGAACGTTCTCTACAAAATGGTGACAAACAAGTTGGGGAGTTAAGTTTAAGTTAACGAAACGTTTAAAGTTAATTATATGCTAAGGAACGATAAACGTGTACTCGTTAATTTGGTTTGCCGCGCGTTAATTGTATGGGGATTGATTAATTACCGTTTGGGGAAATTGGTTGCTTTAATCAACACATAGCGGTTTCTCATTGCTTGTGTTTCCAAACTTGATGATATCTTGTTTAACTATTTAAGTACTTAAGCAAAAAGAAGGGGCATCTGACTATAGACATTAGATTCGTGAAAATCTATTGACACATTTATACTACCTAATTAATCAAAGAAGGTATTTAATAAAATCCATTTAAACCTTATTGCTCATAGATCTTCTTTCTAATTATTTATACCAAATCATAGTACAATACTTACTTCCTGAATAACACAAAAACCGCGATAATAATTCCACAAAACCATCCTAATATTCGCCCAAAGAACTCTCTAATCGGCAATCTATCAAGCAAACAACAATAAAACAAAAGCTACAGCTCGTCAGGGAAACAATTGACGACAAAGTCTCGAAGAAACAATGATGATTATTAAAGAGAAATGTGTACGATAAAATCCGTTGAGTTTTGCCATCGGCGAGTGCGATCTGCCGCGTGTCAGGAGCAAAAGTTTCTAAACCGCCCGCCACTCTCCACTTCGGAAAACGTTTCCGATGTTCGCCGACTAACGTTTTTTGCGCCAAGCCGGTTATCCACTATGAGAGATGTGCTTTACGGAATGATTTTATTTTAAACACTGACGAATTACATTTTAGTAGAACCCTAGTAATAAAAAAATAAGCCATTTATAACGAAATACGAATACGAAATACCTACGGGTATTTCGTATTCGTATATATATATAACATACGTTGTAACAGAAATAGAGAAAATAAAAATGGAAAGAAGATTTCATAACAGCCAGTTACCACCTTGTTAAAAGACGAACCTCTGTTTTCAACAAAAGCGCCTCGCGTAGCTTCTAGTACAAGTCCACCTTACATTTATCTTGGTCGTTTTACTGCTATCTGTGTCACTGGGCGATGTTGCCGAGATTTTAGGCCGTTACGATGTTTTTATTATACATTTTTATGTTTTGCAAATGCTTATTCTTTAGATCTACTTACTTGGGATAAGGATTCGAAAGACGAATCGTTTTTCTTAAGGATTTGATTGGTTCTTTTGTTGACATTTATTGTGTATTTTGATTTGAAATTGGAATGATAGAATAGATTTTTTATGCCAGTAGTCGATTAATAAACGATTAATTACATGATTCTATATTTGAAGATTGAATTTTGAGGCGGGGGTTTTTAGGTCTTCCTTGTTTAACATTTATAAAGAGAAAAGAGGAATTAATACAGGTATGTTTGTTCTTAAAAAATATTTATGATAAAAACTGAATTTAGTGTTTACCTACTTATATTCTGGAAGCTGTCAATGTTTTGATATAAGTATCTACAATTAACTCGGTTCTCCCTAATAAGTCAAAACTGCTTAAGATTCGCTAAGTCATTGAAATATAAACCCATTTAAGTTTGTTTATTAACACGTTCCAGTTTATTGATTGCTATAACTAGTAACTAAGTAATCACGGAAATTGATGTAACACAAACATATATAATTGACTTAGTTTGATCTTTGTCTTCGTTTTAGAGTTGTCAATCGTATTTGGTCCGTATGGTAGATTGCCCTACCCAGAATCTATGAAATTCCGCAAATATTAAAGCAAGCCTACCCTTTCAATTCAAATTATATATCTAATAATATCCCTACTTTTTATAGCTCTTACGTTATTTAAAATGGAACGCATGAAATAGCTTCAATTAAACACACATTCCAATTTCGAATAACGCCATAAATAATTATTGGTTACATAAACAATATTGGCAGCAAAACAATAAGTTGCCACACAGAAAAAAGATTGGTTCTAAATAAAGCTAGTATAGACAACAATCCTTCCACTTGATGCATTATCTTGTCTCTCATTACGGCACTCATTAACAAAACTCGTCACATCCTTAAGACCGGTGTAATCAACCCGGTTACGACCCTTTTAGTATTTGTCCGGTCCGAACATGGTTTTTGTCCCTTATTTTGTCACACTTCGCTTAGCTTTTATTGAATGGAATTCGTCTCTGGAACCCATGTAGGTTTATAAGTACTATCGAGATTCGGAGCTCCTAGTGAATATGACAATAGTTTAGTTTCTTATAAGGGAAAAGTGATCGTACCCTCAATGCCTATGGGATAATATAAGTATAGATTTTGACAATTACACGCTGACTAGCACTAAAAATGTATGCCGCAGATGAGCCAGACTTAAACTGAGGGTTAACAGTTTCTCACTTTGGTGACACATCAAATTAACTCTAAAATGTTAATCTGTTTATTTATATGTCTGTGTACATGTCATAGAGTAAATAAGCCGAAACTTGTAATTGTCCCCAAATACATACAAGGCAACAAGACTGTTAAAACTTGTAAGCGGGAATCTTATTATGTATTTGAAAAATAACTGACGAAAAGTGAAATAGATAGATATTTTTTCCCGCTTGCATACAAACTTCTTTATTTGACAGTATATACCTACGTATATTTAAAAATCGATTGTGTTCGCAACGACGACGGTTCGCATAAATTCACATCTACTCGTTATCTTGTTTCACGAAATACGAACACGTTTGTTAAACTTTTCCCGGGTTTGTTATTTCGATTTTGTTCCAAATATTGTTGTGGAAGATGAAGCGAAATGTAGAAGATAATGCTATGTTATTTGTTTGCAACTTGCAGTACATTTTAAAGTTAATATTGAAGTTGATTTTAAGTGCATTTTGCGTTTTTCACCAACAAGGTGAAAACGTATTAATAAACATCGCCTGTTAAAATTTTTGTGTGACTTCAAAAACACATTATTAGTATTAAAAATAAGCCGTTCCAAATTTAAAGATAGTTTCACCGACACTAACTGACAAGCTGTAATATTGGATAGTTACTGTCAGGAACTGTATTGACGAAGAATACACCACAATCATACTAATAACTAAACACTAACCTTACTACATTACAACCCGAACTCAGGGCTGTATTATCTGTAATAGGCAAGTGCCTATGGCGCTAAATGGCGCTTAAAAGTGCGCTAAAAGCGCGCTAAAAGTTTCGACAGGGCGCCAATAGAATAGCGCGGAAGCGAGAAGGAAAGACATTCGCTCTCGTTTCGTCCTTAATTAGCAGCGCCCCTAGCAGAGACGTAGAGAAACAAAATTTGACAGAATTAATACGTTAACTTATAAATATAAAAAAACATTCATCAATTTCGAAGTATTTTTACACACACCAATTGACTAATTGAAAGCGAACACTGTCGGAATCAGAGTAACAATTCTGTAAATCGTTTCCAATTAACGTAATTCACTGTGTATTTGTATGGCGGGCGGCCATTATGTAGCCGGTGCAGATTGCGTATTGTCGCAGTTACAGCGGTCAAATCTATGGCCGTTTATGTGTCAATCTATATTGTGTTACCGCTTAATTTGGTAAGCAGGATTGGTTGGTAATTATGTGCGATTGATATGCTATTGTGATGAATTTATGTGTGTGGGTAGTTCCGAACCGATACGAACTTCAAATCTCAAAGAAAAGAGCGTGGGTAGGTACCTACTCAATTAATTGAAAATAATGACTTACTCACGTAAATGAATAGAGAAAAGAAAATTTTTCTGCTCTGCGAAAATCATGCCTCGTAAAACTAACACCACGTCGTACAATTTATGAGTCAGTGTGCGGTGGCATCGTAAAATTTTATACACAACATTTTTTTTATATTAACTCTCGTGAGATATATTACTAAATTAACTAAAAATCGCGGGTTTCTCACGTGTGTAATTGAGACATAATATTTTTAACTCATGTAAATACGCGGGTAACTATTAACGCGAAAAATATTTATTTTAGTACCTTGTTAGGCTTTTTTTTGTGAGGGGAAAATCATGAAATGACTTCTCCCGCACAGGGCCGGGCGGGAGGGAGTGTCAGACTCTTACTGACTAAAAACCCCCCTGTTCCTTCTCCTGCTCTGGGCCGAGGTCCCAGTGCCTCATTGCGCTTACCCCGCAACCCCGGCTGAACATCAGTCCTATAGGGCCCCGTTTGTGGTGGTCTATTGGCTCTTTGAGGCGCGCGTGGAACGCTACGCGCCGACCGCTCGGGCCTGGTTCTGGTCGGGCGGTACCTTGGTAGGCTTGACGTTTCGACCTGGTTGCAAAGGTCGTGGTCGCAAGCAGAGTCTGCTACCTAGCCTACCAAAGTATTTAAATAATTATTTCTCGTGTTACTACCTCAGAATACAGAACAAACCAGAATCCGCGTTCACTCATAATTACATGTCGTCAAATGTGTCCAAAAACAATACGTCAATCCCCCCGCCAGCCGCACTTCCCACCCGCGTAGTGCTGCCGACAGTGGAACAATTCCCTTAGTTTGGGGTAATTTTACAACGGGAGGGTAAGATATGGGTAAACCCAACAAAATAGGTAAACTTACGATAAATGCAACAGACTAGTTGTCGACACATTTCACGATTCCTGACTGTGTTAATTTTAGTTACACCTACTATACACAACAAATAAAACAAAGCTTCAATAAGTACAAAGGTTTTATTGCGTTCCCTTTTGCTGGTTTAGTTTTTATAATATGAATTGTCTTTAGACTCGGAACTAAAGATTAGAAGTCTACTTACTTTACTTAGTTCCTGAGATTAGCGCATTCAAGCAAACAAACAAACTCTTCAGCATTATAATTAGTATAGATATATCTTAGTAGGAAATGCTGTTTTCAAACCACCTTTGTCATAAATGTATCTCTTCAAAGTGAATTGTGCAAACTATGCTCTGGCTAGATGGTTTCCAAAATTAATCTAACCGTGCCCTTTGTATGATTTTTATTTTTTAGTCGACAGGGAATCTAATATGTCATAGGCTCCATAATGGACAAAAATATAGCCCACAACAAATAAATAAGTGGCTAAAATTTTTACCAAAAATGACAACACTCACAAAATGGCCGCATCATTTTCATAGAAAATAAATCGATAAAAGAAATTCAATAATTAATTAAATATACTATTGCAGTCGATGCTTGCAGATGAAATGTAATCTTATCCACTTTTTTCGTATTTCCAGCCGCATTTTTACTCGTAGTAATAACACAAGACGGCATAATGAAATTAAAATTGATACTCGTAAATACGTCACGACATGCCACGTGCCAAAATTGACTAATCGTAGAAATTTCATACTACTATAGTAAAGAGTGGTTTTAGTTGCTTCTGTTTTAAGCGCGATAACGCCTTCTGGTTTTTTCTGTATTCTGAGGTTACTACCCGCGTAATTATATGTTGTAAACATGATATGCCAAAGTTTTAAAGTTAGTAAGTATAAATTCAAAAGCGACACTTCTATCACTGTCTTATTAATTTCAATACAAACCTTCCTTTTCCCCAGATCGAAATCCCTTCGAAGTCCGAGCAACATGTTCGTCATCAACCTGGCGGTGTTCGACCTAATGATGATGTTGGAGATGCCACTGCTGATAATAAACTCCTTCTACCAGCGACTGATAGGGTACCAGCTCGGGTGTGACATATACGCCGTGCTTGGCTCCCTGTCGGGTATTGGAGGAGCTATCACCAATGCTGTCATTGCTTTTGATAGATACAAGTAAGTTTTATTAATTATTATTTGCTCCATTTTATTTAAGTTTTGTCACTAAATATAGTTTTAAGACCTTTTTTGTAATAGGAATATTATTAATTCGTCAAACCCCAAGCGAACGCCGGTGTGTCTCGAGTTACCACGATTGAAAGGTCCGAACGCTACGCGCCGTCCGCTCGGGACCTAAATACACCTAACATCAAACATCAGACACAATATTCAGATATACAGGGTGTAAAAAGACACTTAATGAAGCCGAAAGCCACGTATTCTACCCATTATTTGGATCATTTTTTTCTTTAAGACCATAGCTGGGACTCCACGGGTTCTCGAGATATTGAAGGTCAAAGATGCATTTTTATTTTTTATTTTTTTGCGCATTCGTATTCTAAGTATTATTACAAAACTTTTTCCAAACAAAAATTACCTGAATTTTCGATTTTTCTAAATAAATTACGCATTTTAAGTTACGAACAGTAATGTACGTAATAAATAAATGCAGACCCGCACAAAAAACATCGTGCATCTCAGTAGGATTTTTATTTTACAGAATTTATTTTGTTGTTGCGAAGTAAAACGTCGACCTACGTACCTACTTATCACAATTTTAATGCTAAGCTGTGAACCTGCGTACACAATGACACGAAGCCCGTTTGCTTTACATTGCGCGCAATAAAATTTTTTTTTTTTGATACCTAAATATAAAAGTCGTTTCCCAGTGATAATTTTAGCGTAAAGCTACTTAGTTAGAACTGCAGTATGCGTAGTTAACGGCTTCGTTAAGTGTCTTTTTACACCCTGTATATACCAAATCTATTTTTGTATACATATATTTTATGATCTCATACACATGCCGTACCTAGTTATTACTTATTATTTTCCATCAAAGTAATATATTGAATCACTTAGCTATACAGCTTCAATCGTAATTTCGTCATAAGAAAAATATCGGAGACGGTACAATTTCTTTTTTATTGAGAAAATATTGCTATAACAGAAAGGGGTTTGATGTCTTGATATCTTCACTACGAGATGTTATCAAATGTTTTTAGATTGTCTAGACATTTTATTGTGATTTGAACAATAGAGAACAGATTTTCAATCTGAAGAAACTAAACGCAAGTTATCATCAGCCTGGTTTAATCCACTACAGCGTATATGTAGCTAAACTGAGATTTCCTTTTTTTTATGTAATAGGTCGACAAACGAGCAGACGGATTACCTGATGGTGAGCTGTCAGCGCCGCCCATGGACATTCGCAACGGAGGAGTTACGAGTGCGTTGCTGACCTTTTAGGGATTAGGGATTTGGAGATTTAGGGATTGAGGAGGGATTGGGGAAGGGGGAGGATTGGGCCTCCGGTAACCTCACTAGTAGGTGTCCGTGGCGCTGAATTATCCCGTACATTACAGACGAGACCAAGAACCTTTGTTTTGTACCATATAGTGATTGGAGACTAATTATACATTTCTTTATTTACCCTACAAGGACTATCTCCTGCCCTCTGGATGGAAGGATAAACAAAGTACAAGCGGCCATATTGATCGCCTTCACTTGGTTCTGGGCGATGCCCTTCACCATCCTGCCAGCTCTCAAGATCTGGGGACGTTTTGTACCCGGTAAGTTAAAAAAAAATCAATTCATGGTTTATTCGTTTCTGATTGATTAATTCCTACCTACGCAAACGTTTGCCGACGTAAAACACCACCTGAAATACCAAACAGATTTATTTTAATATTCTAAAACAAACCTTTTTTTTTCTTTTATTGCTGGAACTTTCGGTTTTGAAAAATCCCAATAGCATATTTTTCAATGCCGTTACAAAACTTAGATAAACTGTTTAAATTAATCTTATATATAAAAATGGATTGCAGACTGTGTTGGTAAGCGCATAACTCAACAACGCCTGGACCAGTTGTGTTAATTATTTTTTTGATGTGTTTGTTATTATTGGAGAATGTTCTTATCAAAGAAAATAGGTATTAGAAAAGTGGAGGGGAAAATTAGGAAAAAGTGACCCTTTGGTAGTGAGATATTTGGACCCGTGCAAAGCGGGGGCGGGCCGCTAGTAATGTAATAAGTACAATGCATACAATAGTATATTTACAAGACAAGCTCAAAAGCAAAACTGACAATTAAATAAAACCACTCAAGAAAATACAAAAGAATACTCACAAAAACGCACCTGCAACTCCATAAACAAACGTAGGTAATCATAATAATTTATCCGTAATGAATATCAATTAAATATCCATTAAATTAAAAAGAAATATCACCATCGGTAGCCGTTCATTAAGGAAGTCACGAATAAATTAGACAACAATAAATAATGGAAGCTCTGATATTAAATCGTTCATTAAAACCGTCCAGTTTTATTAGGACCCTCGATTTACTGTGCCTGGAATAGTAAAATAAGGTTCCACCCTCTATCAGACACCTTTGAGGGATAATTTACTATGTTTAACTAAATTCCAACCCCTATTCTCCTTCTCGAGGGGATGAATTTTCACATTCTACAACCCTTTGTTTGCTAATTCATCTGTCTTACTTTCACTTTACGTTTCAAACGCATTTTTCATCTATATTTTTTTGTAATTCTATGTTAAACATTTAATAATTATATCTACATTACTGATCCGAAGTAGGTACGTAAATCCGCGTTCCGCTTTCCCAAATAAAACAAAAGAACATCGTCAGCTAATGTCAATAAAAACAATAAAATAACCGAATAACTGCGAACTATCTTCCAACCGCAATTTCTATAAATCTGCAAACAAGCCATAGCTTGCATCTGCCCCAACCAATTTCAAAATCCGAAGCGTTCTAAATCCAATTACACACTGTTGTATTGGGAACATGCATTTCGCACCAATGCTACACATAATTCCGAGTTAACCGACTGATTAAGTGCACCAATTGTACGACAAATTGCACGCATCCGTCGAAACAGGAGATTACCGTTATTGTCTTCGTGCAAACGAGCGATCGTAATCCGATGAGTAATCGACTTTAAATTTTATTAGGATCGAATGTGAAAAAACACAGGCGTGTCTATTCACCGCCAAAAGGAGCCCGTTCACCTTGGCTCCTGCTTTTCGGGATGTATCCCTGGAGTGCACCGACCGCCTTCAGCTCTTGGGAATGGACATTGCTTCAGACCTCAACTTTGGGCGGTTCATTGAGTCCAGAGCCAAGGTAGCTGCTAGAAAACTCGGCGTTCTTGCAAAAGTCCGACGGTACTTCACACCGAGTCAGCTTCTAATGTTGTATAAAGCTCAGGTCCGATCGTGTGTGGAGTACTGCAGCCACATATGGGCTGGTGCTGCGAAATGCCACCTAGCGGCTTTGGATTCGGTGGAAAGGCGTGCAAAGAGGCTGATTGGAGATCCAGATTTGGTTGGGTCCAATATTCAAAGTCTCGAGCACAGGCGCAGAGTAGCCAGCCTTGCGGTTTTCTACAGGATACATTTTGGTGAGTGTGCCCAGGAATTGCACGATTTGATTCCGCCATCCCAATTTCACCTTCGGACATCCCGGCGTACGGCGAATATCCACCCCTACGTTGTTGAGACACCTGCGGCCCGGACTAAGCGTTTTGCCTCGTCATTTATACCGCGTACATCGAGGGATTGGAACAGTTTGCCGGCTGCAGTCTTTCCGTCCGAATACAACTTAGGTGTCTTCAAGGCTAGAGTGAATAGGCTCTTAATAAACTAGTGCGCCTTACCATCAACGATTGCATCACTGCTTAACATCAGGTGGGATCGCAGTCAAGCACTGGTTTATTGCAAGTAAAAAAAAAAAAAAAAAAAAAAAAAAAAAAAATGTAGCGTCGCCCTTCGCCATAAACAGATACATTGAGATTGAAGAAACTGACACATGTGGTTTTTTAATAGCTATTTTGTGATGTGTTTAAATAAATAAACAAAGATTTATAGCTATTGGTTAGAGTGATGATGATAAATCGTCCATAATTCGAAACGAACGGTTATATTTTTAAATTTAAATGTAAAGAAATATTTTTGTTTCTTCTTTATTTTTTATCGCCCTAAATGCTTTTAAAATATTGCTACTGGCCAATTACTCAAAGAGGTTAAGACCATAGAGATTCAGATATAGGGCTGATTATTATACTGTTTTATATGATTACTGTTTCGAATGGAACGACTATCATATTTCCAATAGAATTTAACTAACGCTTTTGTTGCAGAGGGCTTCCTCACCACCTGTTCCTTCGACTACTTCACCGATGACCAGGATACGAAGGTGTTCGTCGGCTGCATCTTCGTGTGGAGCTACGCGATACCAATGACGCTCATCTGCTATTTCTACTCACAGCTATTTGGTGCTGTAAGTTACATTTTTTTTATAAGGTCACTATCACATTGCTTGTGTTTTGGGATTCGTTCCTTCTCCTGCTCCGGGTGGGAGCCGCGTTACTGTGTTGCGCTTTTACACCCCAGTGTAAGTTAAAAATGCGTATTAATTATTTCTTTTAGATCCTCATAATTGTCAGCTATTACTTATTGTACCTATATAAATTATATTCCAATATATTTTTTTTTCGTTCTATTTTTCATTTTGAAACTTTTAAGAACCGTTCTAAGTGGAATTTGATTATTATGCCAATAACGTATGTCGTTTGCTAATTGTGTCTAAGAAAAACCATTGACAATAAATCAAAATATCTAAAAAAAATATACCCATTTAAAAAAAAATATCTATACTTCGTAACAGAAAACACAACAAAATATTAAGCAATATCCTTTAAAAGTTTGATAATAATAACTAAGTTACAGATAATATTTACTGACTTACGAACTTTTATTGCGCGGGGATAAGTAATATTTATACAAACAATAAGACAGAATAAACATAATAATTCGTCGAGAAGACAAACAGGTGGCAGTGAAGTTTAACCATATATTAACCTTATTACGTTTAATAACTCCCCTTGTGTTTTACCGGGGTAAAAGCAGACTAATTTTAGGCCACTTGTGTCCCATTTTCAAGGCTAAAACTACACTAATTAGTCGAGTTTTAGTTGCAAGACCTAACTCGCCTTAGTCGAGTGTATACTAATTCTATATACAGAGTACATAGATTATGATCTGAATTAAGTAGGTAAGCATTTGAGCTCTTGTTTTTAGCCCCTTTAAGAGGCCCCTTTTGTTCTAGCCTCTATGGCGTATGTTATGCATTTGTCGACATTCTTGGGTTTAAAATACATACATTGTAATAACAAGCTCCTCAGTAATAAGTTTGTATTTTAGTCAGACTTTCTATACCTGCAAAGTGCTTGTTTCGGAAATATTCTTCTGGCCAAAGAATAACAATTGACTATGGCGATGTTATTAAAAGATGACCAAGAAACAAAAATATAGGTAGGTACCTAACACGATTACATTCGGTAAAAAAAAACTTCAGACATTTTAATTGCTAAACTTCAAGTAAAATTACATCACTTAAACAAACAAATAAAACAAAATCCATCTGAATAAACACTCGAAACAAACAAAATAATCTTGACAGATTATTCTCAAAGTTATCACACGAAAAACATTTTGAGAAAGATGACGTCTCATTTTCTTTCAAAACATTTCTATTTATCTTGTAGTAAAATATAAATCAAAAAGGATTTGTGAACTTGTCATAAAGTAATCCTAGTGACAGTGCCTACACTACTAGATCATTAACGATAAAATGTTTTCTCAAGTACTTTTGAAGGATTTGTGCCATTTTGTGGCTGTATTTTTTCATATGGCAACACCCACTTACTCGTTTGTACGCGCTTAAACGTCTTGAGTCTAGAACAGTTTCTTTTTCGAAATACAAATGTGACTATTACTGTGTTCAATTCTAACATTTCGTTAGATTGTTCCATTTTTGAATAAATAAATTGGTAAAAGGATGTCTGTTCTACATACCAAAGTATTAATTCCATAGAGTCTGGAAAAGTCTAACAATAAACTCACTCCTATTACAGGGAATTGATATAATTGGTGAAAGTAGGTGTTCTTTAATAATGTGTTCCCCTTCTAGAATCAATTTATATTAGAACGTGTACTAATAATAGAAAATATCAACAACATCCCACTGAAAATGTGAAAATAAATCACACAAAACATGTTACAATAATTTCCCGACAACTTAGAAAGGTTAGTTTTGTCCTCAAAAGACCGAAAGATCTTCCGTCCTATTTGATTGCCCGCCCTTAATACCCGTAGTGATTATTACCCGTGATATATTTCGATTCAATTAACCTATTTATATTAAGGGATCATACCGCCATTTTGTTACTGGATCGTGTTAGCCAATCAGCGCAAAGCTTGGATTAAAGGAAAACAATATCAGTTTCTTGTCATTGTTTTGTTATTCTAAGGATGAGGGCACAATGAGCAAAATGGAAAAGTAAATGAGCATAATTATGGATAAAATTAATTCTTATCAAGTTTATAAAAATACCACAAACATACCACAGTACGATATCTCCTATATTGTAAGTGCATTTACAAATATATAATTTCAAATAAAAATCATACTGAAACCTAAAAAAACAACTTATAGATTGATATGAGAGAGGTTCCATGCAGGAATCGCACCCGTGATATGCTGCACGGCGGACGGCAGCCCAGTTTCCCATGTTTCCAATATTTTTTATCATACTTATATATCGAGTACAAATTCCAGCGTTTTGTCTTACTGTTTGTTTGAAATTTGATTTTGGGCTCATTTTTAACCAGAATTACGAATACTTCTAAGAATTGAAACAAATAAGTTATCTTCATCTAAGGAGTTATGGTGTAGCTTTTTTGTCAATCTCAAGCTCTCTAACTATCGCTACACAAAAATCAGGTCAATCTGTCGCTCTGTTTGTCATGAAAAGATAGGCAAACAAACCCGTACACATTTCCGTACTTACTCTGTATTGCTCTACTAAGGCTTATTTCACAAGGTCTAAAAAGGCTCTTGTTGATTTCACTCTTCGGTAGAGATATAGTGTGGGAGAGCCATGCTTCGGCACGAACGGGTCGGCTGAACCGAAGTAATACCACGGCCCCACGAAAAAACTGGCGTAAAACAACCACAACTTTGTGTTTCGGTGTGTAAATGAGGTTACCTAAAGCCCTATCCATCCCCTTACTCCGTCCGTAAATCCGCAAACCCCTTATCTCAAAGGGGTCGCAATGCACTTGCTACTCCTCTGGTGGTTGGGTCTGGTCCTTGGGCGAAGCTGAGCTTACCATCAGATAATACGTCTGCACGTATTATATAATGTATTTTTACAGAAAAAGAAGTAAACGCCAGTCTCACCACTTTAATTTAACTTCCCGCCAAAATTGTGTGGCACATTCTTCACAGACACTGCGTTCTATATTCAAATTTATCTGACACATAGCGGCTATTCCTATACTGTGTAAAAGTCCCTCTAGTTCAATATCGGTAATCGTTATTGCTTTACAAACGAAACAAATGTACGGGAATTCATTTGTTGACCACGTGACTTATGGGTGTCCTTCAGAAATGTCCATACATTGTTTCGTTTTGAAGCGATGACTATTGTCAATAGGTTCTGAACTTAGCTAGGAAGGTTTCGTTCTTAGTCTAGCTGATATGTATAGCTGTATGTTTATAACAGCACCCACAACACAGGAGAAAATACTAATGTAGGGCAACGTTTTTTAAAAAAAGAATAGAGAAAAAAATATAGATCATTTGACAATTTTTTTCTAAATAGAGTTAGTTAATATTTGTTTATCGTTGCCCCCACACTAGTACTTTCTCCTTAATTGTGGGTGCGTTTACAAACATACAATATCACATACACATGACACCTAAACCCCGAGCAACAATTTATGGATCACTCAAAAGTTGTCCCGTGCGAAAATCAAACCCGCGACACATTGCACGACAGTCCAGCCACAGCGTCAAGCGTGCAGTACAATAATCAGACATTATAAAATTTGTGCTTACGGTAAAAAGTATTGCAAAAATTATGAGCTATTTCAAAAGTACATAACTCATACAAGACTGCTCTCATCACTTCGAAATCGGCTTACAATGTACCCGAGAGTAATAAGATTTACCTTGTGAGGAAATCTCAGACTAACACGGCAATGAATAGAAGAAATCCGATTACTTACATGTTTTTTTTTTGTATTTCAACTACCCAAGATGTTTTTTTCTTATTATCTGAAGTAACATACAAGTGGAAAAAGAAAGGATGTCGACTAAAAACAAAATTAAAACATCATTTTATTTAGAGACTAGCAGGTATGTACTTACTCGACGAAAGTGACTAATAGTTCCAAATTAATTTAACTTTTGTGTTATACTGAAAAATCTGAAAAATCCACTTTTCCATGCATTTCGTTTATATCAATAAATTCGTATGTCACTTTAATACTGGCACCATTCCTGGATTCATTGGGTCAGCCGATAGTCCAAAAAGCACAGTTAAAAGCCTAAAGAATGCCATTATAGGTCTATTTAGCACCCAAACAAGGTGTAAATCACACAAGAAAAATTGTATCTACTTAAATTCAGTACCATCATGACTCAAACCGCTCGGAATACGGTTACCACATGCGGCCAAAGTTACCCTTTATATTCCAACTTAAATATTAGTTATCAAACCTATCTACATTGGTCAAAATCAAACCCTCAAACTTTGACAAAAAGCCGAAACTCTTTCAACATCAAATACATATACGAAACGGTAAAACTCCCCTTCAAAAACCCTAAACAAATAATAACCTTTTTCGTTGCCCCAAAAACCTAACAATCAATTTTTCTTCAATAAAGCTTGAACACAATAACAGAAAATAACATTCATTCAGGCGTAACCTCGACACGGCACTCGTAAACTACGCTCCGAAAAAAAAAACGTCGAATCACTAAAGTTCCGACGAAGAACGAAAATTGTTTGTTAAGTTCGTCACCTCGAATTGTTTCGGATAAACTCTCGGTCTCGCCGAAGTTTCCCATCACTACAAACTGAGAACAGACGAAATTAAATTTGAATTGGAGTTCCATCGTGGCGAGAACAAACAGTTTAAGTGACATACGTATCGTAGAAGTCATGTAACAAAGAAGTCATTTGAAAGTTTTAACAAATACCGACAACAAGTATTTTTCTCGCTAATATATTTTAAAGGTATTTTAAATTAGCGTGCATAGTTTAAATAGTTGATTAAAGTTCCATCTAGAATATTCACCGGGAAGCGAGAACGCGTCTTGCGTTTTCCGATAAATAGCTATTAGGTATAAAAGCGCAGAGCTTTATCTTAAATTTTATCCAGATATTCTTATTCAGATGCTAATAAAAACTTACTATCTGCTTAAGATTATAATTATTATTATACCTTCTCAAACAATGTCATTTTTCTTTTCCTAAATACTTGACGGCAATGTCAGAAAAAATGTTAGAAGAGAGAATAATGCCCGTTTTCACCAACAGCCCCTAAAATTTAAGTGTCTCTTAAGCCAATATAAGGGGCACTTATCGCGAGTTTTGTTTTCACCAACGTTTAAGTGTCACCTATATCATTAGGGGTCCCTTATAATTTAGGGGATGAATTGACGACCCCGTAACGTTTAAGTGACACATAGTGTTAGGTTATTTTGCGAATCACCAAACAGTATTTTATCCTACTGAATAAGATAAAAAATAATAAAAATGGATAATAACCACTATTTATTTGAAGATTTTAAGCAATTGAAGATATGGAATTGTTAAGTAACCGACATTTGTATAGACGACCTCGTATTTATCGTGAAAGATCGAAAGATTTTGAAAAATATGATGAAAAAGACTTTTTCATAAGATACAGGCTCAACCTTACTTGTATTTAAAGAAATAAATCTGTGGCACCGATTAACCAATTACTGTGTGCCCTTAGATTTTATGCAACAGGCAATCAATTAAATATTATCTGTAGCAGATCTCAATCCCATCAGTGTATCTACTTGCAGTAGAATTATAAAAAGAGTGCCTGACGCTATCGTGGGTCGTGGCAAAGCGAATTCATACAATTTCCATACACCGAAGAAAAACAACAAATAGTAAAAGAAGAATTTTACAGAATAGCTCGATTTCCAAATGTTTTAGGATGTATAGACTGTACACACATAAAAATTCAATTATAAGGTTGGGCGTTTAGAGAAACACAGGTCCTTACGAGTAACCATTTATTACTGAATCTCCTATGAAATAATACATGATTTAATAAGATGGATAGACACGCACACATACAGATACGGCAGATCTTTGTGTCATATTTATTGAGCCTCCAGCGAACACCGTCGTTCGCACACCTATCGTCTTTCCATGATGTCTCTAATAATGATATTCAAAAGTCTTTTAATTGTATTAACTAGAAACCTTCTTTACATTTATTCATGTGATAAATTATAGGAGGAGATGATGCCGAACTATTCTGGAATAGAAAAAGGAGTATGTCTATTAATATGCAAACAATAAGTACTGCAAAATTATTAATAACTGATGTGGTGACTCGCTAGCCAGGATGAACAACATTCTTTATCTTCAAGTGAAAAATTTTGACCACGTTTCCTCTTTTCTGCCATTGTAATTAATAAAAATTTGGTATTTTTTGAAAATACACGAAATGATTGATATGAAACTGTCACTGGATAGTGGCATCAAAATGTCACCGGCACCGCGTCTTTGTAAGCTATGGCATTCAACATACAGCCAAAAAATAAAAACACAACTTTTTGTTACTAATCTAACATTCACCAGTTGAAGACTCTTCTTTTCGAAATAAATTGAAGTTAGAAAAGTTAATTACTTGTTTTAAGGTTGTATATTTACGAAAATAACAATAGAATTGTCTAATCGATTCATTTATCGATAACTGTTTGCATAGTTCCTCAACACTAAACGTCACCTAATTAGGGGGCTCTTAGTTAGGTGACACTTAGGACAGTGAAACAAAATTTAAGTTAAGGGATGATTTGAACGGTCCCCTAAGTTAAGTGGCCCTTACTAAGGTGACTGTTTAGGGGCTGTTGGTGAAAACGGGCATAAGTGACTTATTTGAATAAAACTTCGTATCATCATTTTGCAACAGCAGCGCCCTCTGACACGTCATAATTACGTCAATAGAGTTTGAACGAAAACGTTCCATTCATGTATTTTTTTTAATTCACGACCGTCGACGCTCGTGAAAACGCGATTTAACAAGACTGATAATTAAAAGTCTGATTGTTCAGTTTTTCTCGTTTTCCCTTCAAGGAAAATTGGACAGAAACGCTTTCGTTCGACCAAAATTGAAAATTGGGGTATTGCAAAACCGTTCTTTATTTGCCTCGTTTTAATAAATTGTGTGTTTTGGTTAATAACTCGACGTTGTTTTTCTTAAAGAGTAAATTAAAACCTCGGTGCGGTATTTGCGCGTTACCTAAGTAAATTTTGGGAAACCTGCTGTTTTGTTTTGGTCGTAATCAAAAATATATTTAGAAGTGTGGTTAAATTATTTTTCACCTATTTTTTATTTCTCCAGTCTTAACTATGCATAATAATTCTAACACAATCGCCCAAAAATTGAACAGTCCGATTCCGTTTGCTTAAAACGAAAAGTTATACAAATAAATGAGAATTATCTCAGAGCTATTCGATTCAAGAATTCTTCGAGTAACAATTTAAACGGAAAATTCAAAAGTTTTTCCTTAGGATACAAGGAAGAAGCATTAAGAATTATTTTTGTTTGAACGAATGCACGAATTCCCGAATCCCTCGATCCGGGGTAGCGTTGTACCTTTTGGGTGTATTTTATCCGATTTTATTCGAGTTTACAACTGAGATAATATTCGTTTGAAGATACCAGATATTAAATATATAAGTAGGTACTTATAAAAGGTAATATGCATAAACAGTATTGCTGAAAATAATCCAAACAAATAGTCTGCCTGTCTGTCTGTTTTCTTTACGCTTAAACTACTGAACCGATTTCTGTGAAATTTGGTACAAACAAATTTTGGAACTCGAGAAAGGACATAGGATAGTTTTTATACCAAAAATCTGCAGGAAGTCACTATTCCACGCGAACGGAATCGTCGCCGGCAAAAGCTAGTAACTTCATAAGCCTAATGACTTCGATAATTACAAATCTAAATTAAAAATCCAGTAAAAAACAATTGCTATAACACGCTCTCCAGTAACGAGATCGCTATTACAATTTTATTGTAGGATCTGCCTATATATTCTACCTTTCAACACAAAATAGAGTCCTTTCGAACACAAAATAGATTTTCAAGAATCGATACTCAGTGCATTAATCAAATTGAATTTTGAATAAAACGATCGGCGAGGGCACCGATTGTTCACTCGAATAGAAATACGAACGACAGCGATTCGATTGTTGAAACATTTCGAAATCCCGCAACGCTAATCTCGAACGGAATGGCCGAGGAATGTTATAAAAGTAGCAGTTTGTAGATTGTATTGGTTAACGCTTAGTGGTACTTATGTACTGTGTTTATGTATCGTTCATCTTCGAATATAACTTGTAGCTAACTTTTAGCGCGATTCTGCTCTTTGAATTTTGTTTTTTTTTGTGATAGGGCGTCAAACAAGGCAGTCGGCGCTACCCATGGAAACTCGCTAAACCAGAGAAGTAACATAGCGCTGTGGTTGTTTCACGCTGGTTTTCTATGAGGCCGTGGTATAACAGTGGGCGAGCCGGCCCATTCGAACCAAAGCATAGCTCTCTCACTCTAAATTGAACGCTTTTTTTCTTTTGTACATATATCGCAAATTTTAATAATGCACACAGAACTGAATTATTATCAATGCCTGCCCTATTTGGTTCTTTCACATCTTCATTTGAAATCTGCGTTAAGATCGACTGCTGTTTTATTCATTCCGACAAAATAACGAACTTAATAATATTATCTAATTGAAAGAATCAACTGAGCCTTTGCCTCCAAGAACTTAAGAAAACTCAAGCAAAAGTCCATTTAAACTTATGATGGAGCCCTTTCTATAAAACATTCAAACCTCCCTTGCTCTTTCCCAGGTCCGTCTCCACGAGCGCATGTTATCAGACCAAGCCAAAAAGATGAACGTCAAGTCTTTAGCTGCAAACAAGGAGGATGCAAGCCGAAGTGTTGAGATCAGGATCGCTAAAGTGGCCTTCACTATATTTTTCCTGTTCGTCTGTGCGTGGACTCCTTACGCATTTGTCACTATGACTGGAGCTTTTGGTGATAGGTGAGTGTTCTTTGAAATTATCACATCACATCGTCAGCCTATTAACGTCCACTGCTGAGCAAGGTCTCTTCTCAGACTTCTTTTCAGACTTATAATGTAAAATTATAAGTCCAGCAGAGTGATTCAATAAGACTTCATTCTAAACTTACCGCAACATTTTAATAGATAAAGTATGAGATGACGTTAAAAGTGGCGTTATTTCCCCGTCACTTCGATGCTCAATGAACAAGATTCAAAATGAAACAAATTTTATAGAATCGAACGTGCAGGTTTCCTTAACCACTGGTCACTGCACATGGTGTCTAAATAATCTTAGAAAGTACATTATAATTCGGCAAAAGTCACATTGGTACTTGCCAGGTTTCACCTGTGGGTCACCACGACTTTAAAATTATAGATGAAAAGATTTATAAGATGAATAATGAACTTAGTTTGAGATATTATAGGCGATATTTATCTGAATCTCACAGCAACAAACCCATACGAAGCTGATGGTAAGCAATCCGTGGATTTGTAATCGCTCATGAATTTCTGAAACACCAGTGGAGCAAATGCGTTGCAGGCCTATTGGGCATTTAACGCTACAGACTTAGCTTTCTGTAAGGTCATAGCATAACTGCGAAAGAGTAGTGAATGGAGACGTCGAAGCTTGGCTCTCTAACACATGTACCACACTTGGCATGGCTCTCCTACAGTTTAAGCACGATCTCTTATAGTTTTTAAGTCATCTTAGTATAACAACATGAACTTGTATGGTACATGCGTCTCCCTGCCTACCCAGTTCGTCAAAAATATTAAAATGCCTTATGAACCACAAAGGCGTTAATCGACAAGTCTTGTTACAACTAAATATTTTAATCCAAGACGCCTAACAATATTATGTGGCTTCATCGTTACAATGATTCGGAGGTATTGTTGTTCAATTTAATGTGGATTACCATTTAAGCTGAGTAAGTTCTTAAGTAAGTTAGTAAATTTTGATGTTTTCAACGTTTTACCGCCGTCATTTATTAGTTAATCAACCCTAGTCAAACAAACTCGTAGTTAAGGAATAGTTTAAATACTTATTAAATGTCTCTAAGTATGGTAGAAATAACTATTCATCTCTTAATAGAGGCGAGAAACCAAATGATCGAAAGATGAATAAAAAAATTGGGAAGAGAAATATTAAACATGAGGTTTACAAGCGTAAACCTTTGTGATATAGCCAGAAATAAAATGGAATAACACAGGCTGACACTTCCACTTCAGTTATACAGTTATAATAAAAAGTGTAGGCGTTGACAAGTCGCGTGGGTGTCCCACCGTTGTTCGTATATATCATTTGATAGATGGTTGAAGAAATAAAGCTAAAGGGCAAAATTTCACTTGTTTATTCCTACAAATTCATAAAAATCAAGTAGCTTCATAGTTACATGATTTTGCGTGGGCTACTAAAGGCAAATTCAATCAGTCAGGAGATCCGAGAAGAATGAAAATAGTAACGATCGAAGTTTCTAACCATAACAAGGGTTCCAATTTCAAACAGATTCAAACGGACAGATTGCTTTTGTTTATTTTGAAAAACTAAGAAGGTTCAGAGAATAGCAGGCTAACAACACTAACGTAGACAAATAGATGTAAGTGTAACATTTATACAGTACAAACAATAATAGACACAAATTAATAGACAAATAAGTGGGTACACAATACAAATTAATACGACAACAACAACAACACAAAAAAAAGAATATTAAACGGGTAGTACGAAAGAAAGAGATAAGGATAAAAAACATAAGGCGCGGTTAAATGTGTCTTTAGTTTGCACCGAATTGGAGTCCAGCTCAGCATGTGTCAGGTAGATACCTGACGCTGGTATTCTGCGGGATCCCTGCAAGTACATAAAACACCACCACCAGGTCAATAATCATGTCAAGATTTCAAAGAAACACCTTCTTTCCTCAGGAGCCTCTTAACTCCCATAGCGACGATGGTGCCAGCTGTCTGCTGCAAGGTGGTCTCCTGCATAGATCCATGGGTGTATGCCATCAATCATCCCAGATACAGGTCAGTAGTTGTTAGACAAAAAACTTTTGACTGCCGATATATGAGACACAATAGCCTTACGACTCGAATTATACAATATTTTTGAAAACAAAGTATAATAAACATTATCTGAATATGTAATGTTACACTAAACTATACTTACTTTGAAGAATCTTATTAATTTAATTTGAGAAACGTAACTAACCGCTTCCAAACTTCCAAAATGAAAGAAATAAAAAGGGTCATCCATATTATTCTCCTTGCCTTTTTAAATGAACGGCAGGCTATTTTCTTCTTCCGTCGGACGTTATAAAATATCAAAAACATATACTTAATGAAACTAGTTCAATAAAAGTATTCTAGCTTGTCTTATATTCTTAAAACATACAATATTGAAACTGAAATGACTTAGATAATAGATACAGTATTACAACTAGTAGGTACGTAATAGATAAACTTTTACAGCTATCTGCTTAAGAATTGCCACCTTCAAAATTTTCTTCGTAATGTTTCATCAACACGATAAATTCCTTTTTTCCCTAATAGGGCGGAGCTCCAGAAGCGTCTCCCCTGGATGGGAGTCCGAGAACAGGATCCTGACAGTGTTTCCACCTCTACCAGCGTCGGTACCGCGCAGTCCACCGCCCAACCTACAGCCGAAGCTTAGATCCTTAGAGAGAGAAACTTCTAGAAATAGTGGTACAATGAGAATTTTCTTACGACAACATCTATAACGTGTATAGCCAAATATCAAATAATTGAGATATCAACAGATTTAACGTTTTTTTTTTAATTTCTAGTGGATTTTGTGGTCTATGGTTGAGTTGAGCAACAAAGATGGCTGACTTAATCTGGCATAACTCGAGACGTAAAATGTTATGCAATTAAGTGTAAACTAAAGCTACCTGAATATCTTATTCTATTTGAGGTAAACATATTTCAACCCACGTTTTATTTTCTAAATATAGTACAAATATTTTTTCCCGTCAATTTTGTGGGTAACCAGGAAAGGTTTTGGCGGGAAACCCTTTCGAATATTATGTTTTTCGTCTACTGACAATGTAACACTAGGAAACTGTCAAGTATGTAAATAATAACAAATATTTTCCATCCATATTTTTTACTAAGTATGTAAATACAAATGTCGTTTTCTTATACGTATTTCATTATTTTTACTATTGTGTAATTTGTTATTGAGTGCTTAGATATGTTCTAGAATAATTCAGTTTTCTTCAATGAACGAGATTATTTCCTTTATCGTGTTCTATTTACAGAGTTAGAAACAAATTCTCATAGTACCACTATTACAGATTAAAAAACGACACAAGCAAGTCTATGGTTAAACGATTATACAACCATATTTTTTTACGAAGCAAAATATAAAAAAATATATTTAAAAAAATACGGACTGATCCCGACGACCTCGCTGATTTTATGAACAAATAAAAATATTATATTGCAACTGATTTGACTTTGTTTTTTTTATTAGGTACCTTAGGGATAGTTCCTATTTTAAAAATAAACAGAACATTGATTTCTAATTCAACGTCTACAGAGTTTTACGATTTACCTATTTTTACAATTTGACGGTATGACGTGGGCCTACCACGTCTTACCCAGACCCGGAACAACAAATAGTGGATCACACCAAGAGTTGTTCCTTAGGGGAATCGAACCAGCGACAGCCCAACCATAGCGTCAACCGTGCTGTCACATCTATGTGCTAAAAGTTTCATGATGGGCACTATCTACGTACTTAACAGTCGGTGTGCTTTTTCAGTGTCAAAAGCTTTTTTCGTTAAGAAACCTATTTCTTAGTGCTTATTAGCGAGAATACCTACTGGGTACTGTTAATTTTGAAATTAGAAAATTTACTGAAGTAAATTTTGTGAATAATGCTTTAAAATAAACACAATACACAACATTATTTTAAGTAACCTTGCAAATTTTCCTAAAATAAAATAAATTAACAGACTTACCTTTAACTCAGCACCAGCTACAAACAAAACCGCTCACCATAGACATCATAAGACCGTCTTATCAAACCTCAAAGAAGCCTAGACTTTATTTACGCAAACCTCATTAATTTTAACAACAACAAACAAAAAAGAATTTATGCAAAGCAAACCACAAAAAGTTCATAACCAGGGTAAAAGAATAAGAAACAAAAACAAAGTAATGAGACGAGCAAAGCAGCTTATACCTACTTGTGAAGTCGGGGCCCTTTTATCGGGCTCTGAGAACGTTGCTAATGAACTGTGACGTCCAAGATAGACTATTTTACGACTGCAGACCTCTTATAATTTAAATATCATAGCTGCTCTAGCTGGAGGACTTAACTTATTTAGGTCATCCCTACGTTAGTCTGGCAAGTAAAAATATGGTGATAATATACATTATAGTATTGAAATTCTTGGATCGGGGCTGATTGAGCAAGATAGGAATATTACAACTAAGAGTATAGATAGGTCTTTCAGCATACATCTATCGTTCTAAAGTGACAAGTAATATTATTATCATTTTTTTATGTAATAGGTCGGCAATCGAGCAGACGGAGTGCTGATGGTAAGCAGATCAGCGCCGCCCATGGACACCCAACAGAAGAGTTAGGAATGCGTTGCCGACCTTTAGGGGATTAGGGATTTGGAGATTTGGAGATTTAGTGATTGGGGAGGGAAAGGATTGGGCTTCTGATAATCTAACTCACACGGCAAAACACAACGCTGTTTCATCGTTTCATTGGTTTTCTGGCGACCCACTCAACCTCCCATACTTAAAGTATTATCATTTCCCTATAAGTGTTCATTGCCGCAAGGGCCTCTTATCACACGGAGAAGGTTTGAGCAGGTTGCGCAACCTTACAGAGCAGAAACTATTAACAAAAAGAGAATATTTGAAATCTCCTTATAAGACATTTTATTTTATAAATAACCATGTTTCTCTAACAAGCATAACATTGTGAGTAAATTAAGCGTAAAATTTGTTGATACATTTTAACTTACAAATCGGTTTATAAGCAACGACAACAAAAGTATCAAGAAATAATGTTTACCTACGTTCAGACTTATTAACCCACACAAGAACACAACGTCGTGTTTGAAGACTTATTATAATTTACTGCTAAAGGGTTTGCCCTTTCGAAGTCAAAGTCAAATCATGTACCTATTGCAAGTAGACCACAATAGACACCTTTGACTGTCGGTCTATCATCTAGTGAAGCTATTTGCACGTTCCAAAGTGTAAATTCCTTATTTTTATATGATAGGTCGGTAAACAAACGGATTACCCGATGGTAAGCATTCAGCGCCGCCCATGGACACCCGCAACGACGGAGGAGTTACAAGTGCGTTGCCGACCTTTTGGGGATTAAGGATTTGGAGATTTTGGGAATGAGGAGGGGAAGTATTGGGCCTCCGGTAACCTCACTCACACGGCGAACCACAACGCTGTGGTTGTTTCACGCCGGTTTTCTGTGAGGCCATGGTATCACTCCGGTCGAGCCTACCCATTCGTGCCGAAGCATGGCTCTCCCACACTTAATATGGAGAAGAACGAGCAAGTAACTCCATGGTTACCTACTATTTTTCAATCAGTTTTACGATTCATTTCTTTAGTACATCATTTAGTTAGTTCTATTATGATTTATTTCGATAGATTCCGATTATAATACTTATTATTAGATTCCGATATGATACTACTTAGTCTCTTAGTCATAGAAGATGCTGCGGATGTATGTAGTTCCCGGTGTGTAACAGTAAGAGTCTAACAGTCCCCTTTATCTGACACTTTGTCCTAGATGAAAGGGCTTGAAGCTTATTGAACCTAGGGTAACACGTGTCTTGGAAGAGACCTTTTTGTCTAACCTTAGATCTTTTACAGAGCTTTATAACCAATGATATGTTTAATTCGATATAAATATTTATCTAATTTAAGCAATAAAAACATCTAGTCTAGTCATCGGGGAATCTTAGCCTCTCAAGTCATGTTAATGTAGACGGAACACAAATTTTCCCACCAGTCACTTAACATTTAGCGACGCATAAATATCAATATCAAGGGTAAGAATGAATAATAAAACTCGATTCCTTCGAAACTTTCGAGAAAGTACGATAACAATAAATCTAAACTGACAAACATTTTTAACAGATACTTATTCAATTCAATAAAGCTGTGTAAAGGTAAAAGCAATCAATTAACATGGCCAATAGCGAGTTACGATTCGTCACCCACGAGCTCGCGGCTACGAACACGCCTGTACGAAACGCTCGCACTTCGTTAGCGATTAATTAAATTTCGACTCGATTTCAGCGATTAATCGTCGGTTAGAAACGACCGGTGTGCCGTGTAACGTGTCAGATTATTGCCCAATCACTGCTCGACGTTTGGATTCACCTAACTTTTGATTTATGTTGGACGTCCAAATAATTTATCTATGACAATCGTTCAGAAGTGATCCGATGCAAAAATAAACTTATTATTGATTGATTTGGGACATATTTCTGAAGTGGTACCTACTTACTATTTGTTTTTTTTTTGTTGAGGAAGGAAATTTACCAAAGACTTTTATTGACTAAAACTAAAATCCCCCCTTCGTTCTGCGGCTCCAGGCCGAGAACGCTTCTAGGGTTCAAATTGAATTCGCGACATAAGTACCTATTTAAGTAATTACCGCATTTATTTATTTATGCGATTGGCAAGGATGTTTCCAGTCCATGTCATTTATTAGGTAGATTAGACTTTATTATTTGCGATATTTTACGTAGGTATTTTACATTATTTTTTCTTATATTTAGCGGAATAGCCATCAAGAAAAGCATCCATCTATATTTTTAACAATAAAATTCCAATATTTAGAGATGCCTGAAGTATTTATAAAAAGAAAAAGGAATTCATGGCATTTTAGCTAAATTGTAATTACGGAGGTGACGCGGCGCGGTAGAAGGGTTGTTAGACACCGCCATTTTAGGGAGACATTCGATTTTTAAAAGCACTTTATTAGTGTTGCTTTGAATATGCACCTTATCTGAATGGGAAGGAGTTGATTTTTTCATATCACATATCATGATTATAGATGCTATTATTATTATTTCAAGGGTTTGAATTAAGTGATAAGTAGGTAGGACCAGTCGCTTTGATATTCGCCATTGTTATTGCTGATTGAGTCATCGTTACCTGATAATTACAAACTAAGTTAGGTACAAAATAAGAAATTACTGACCTAAAAAAATCGAAATTTTAAAAGAGAAAGCCGAAATTAGTAAAACGTACTTTACATAATTCAGAACACAATAATGACAATACTAAGGACATTAACATATATTTTATATAGGACATAATTATGTGCCTAATAAAAAAAAAACCAACAAACCTTTTTACTACACTACCTATTTTCGGTAATGTAACTGAGATCCCCAAGCTGTATGCTAAGAGATTCTTGATTATCATCATCTCACAAAAGGAGGTAAGTTTGTTAAGAAGGTATAAGCATTAATCATAGGATTTGGTCAAGGGGAATTGACGATTTCACTTTTAATATACCTACCTGTGATGGAGGGAGCCCTAGGAATGAGAAAAAGAAATCTCTGTTCTCATCAGAATCCCATAAACTCTTATAGAGATATAAATAATGCCCATCAACCATCGACAGATCGACATCAAATTATTAACTTCACTATTCCCCCAAAAACATGATCATAAACAAAAACTTGTCATGTAACGCTCTTTGTGGAACTTCAAAACTCATTACAGGACGCGTTTC